ACTTCCCCCTCCAAAGGGTTCAAAGTAGAAAAACAGAGAAAGGAGGGTGTGGGGGGAAGAGGAATCTGCAGGAATCTGTCCTTGCTCTGTGTGACTGTGGACATCACTGGGCTCTGCAGACTTGTCCCAAGCTGAGAACCTCAGGATTTGGGATAGGTCCTCTCTCTCAGCTCTGAGTGTTGGAGGTTTGGATCCCATTTGCTGTTTTTCCCTTTCCTGTTTATCACTGTAGTGTGTCTTGGCATCATTTCCTCCCGTGTGTTCTCTAACCCATGGGACCACTGCCCCACACAGTGCTTCTCCCTCCAAATGGAATAAACATCCTCTACAGGGATCTGAGGTGTCCCTACCCGTGCCCAGGACATGGAGGAAAGGGTTTGTGCCATGCTCCATGTCCTGGGCTTTTCAATCCCAGAACTCTGCCATGAGCATGCTAGAGATTTTTCAGTGGCATCAGTGAGTTTAGATCACACAGCCTCGAAACCCTTCCAGGAATTTATTTCCACCACTGCACATGGTGTGTGGTTATCCATGCTGGACAATTCAGTAGGTCCGTGGGCACATCTGATGAGGGCACCTGCATGTCTATGGCCAAGGTTTATCTGTGTGTTTGCCTCCATCCCCAGTTCATCCCTGTGCTGTAGGAGGCAGGATGCAGCCTGGATTCTTGCTGGCAGCCAGCACCCTGGCAGCAGTGCTGGGCATGGCCCTGCTGGAGGACGGAGTGTGTAAGGCACCGGATGGCAAAAACGGCAACCCTGGAGTCCCTGGCCGTGATGGGAGGCCAGGCCAGAAGGGAGACACGGGAGAGCCAGGTAAGAGGAGCCCAGGGATGTTGGGTGCAGGAGGCCTGGGAGCCTCTTGGAGCATCCCAGGCTGTGGGAGCAGCTCAGGAGATGCCAGATGTGTGTGAACTCCTCCTCCCCACTTCTCCCCAGGGAGAGCAGCGCCGAGCACGGGCACCAAGGGCCCCAAAGGGGATACAGGCGAACCAGGATCTCCCGGCCTCCCAGGCATACGGGGCCCACCAGGCATCGTCGGCCTCACGGGGATGCCAGGGCTGCCAGGGCCACGAGGGGAGAAAGGCAGAGCTGGGGATGTTTTGGAGCACCCCCGTCCTGCCTTCTCTGCCTCCAGGCTGTCCCCACCTCGCACAGGCACCACGGTGGTGTTTGACAGGATCATCACCAACCAGGAGAACTCCTACAGCCCCCAGACTGGGAAGTTCACCTGCAGCACTCCCGGGCTCTACTACTTCACCTTCCAGGTGGTGTCCAACGGGGACCTGTGTCTGAGCATCACCAAGAACGGGCAGCGCGTGGTCGGCTTCTGTGACAACAACAGCCTCGGCATCCTGCAGGTGAACTCGGGCAGCAGCGTGCTCAGCCTGGCTGCTGGTGACCAGGTGTACCTGAGCACTGACCCTGCCCAGGGCAGCTCCATTTACAGAGGCTCCGAGGTCGACAGCGTCTTCAGCGGGTTCCTGGTGTCCCCAGAGACGGCCTGAGGGGTTCCCACAGCACCCTGGGGTGTCTGCCTGGCTGGCAGCTCCCCTCTGGCTGTGTGGGATGCTTCAGTGCCACAGCACATGGGGATGGTTCCAAGTTGAGCGTCCAGAAGTGTTCTGTGCCCCCAGCAATGTCACAGCTGGCCAAGCTGTGGGTCACCACTGCAGCACTCAGCTCCACGCTGAGCCTGCCTGCCCTGCCCTGGGGGCTGTGGACTCTCATCCCTTTCTCCTCCTGGGCACTCAAGCTCCTCTCCCGGTTGTCACCACCTTTGGTTCTTTGCCCCCAGGTGGGAAATCACTGCCTACCACTGCTTCTGCTCCACTAACCACTGCACAAGCCCTCCTGGCACTGGGGCACCTCCTGTCACAACCTCCCCATCAGTATAAATAAAGGCTTCTTCTACCACAACTCCTTGGGTTTTCTTTTCTACTCATTCATTTTCTGCAAACCATCAATATCCTGGACCCCTTCCCAAGCTGCCCAGGGAGACAAGTGATTCCAGATTGTCCCAGGCGCTGCAAAGGCAGAAGGACAGGAGGAAATCGAGTGTCCAGTCAGAGCTGACACTTCCAGGGAGGAATAAGAAACATCTGGGACAAGGTTATGTGTGTCCTCTGTTGAGCTATCTTGCAGGGAAAACAAAGGCTGCAGATCCTGCACCTCACCCACATGGTCCAGGTTGGCACCCAAACTCTCCCAGGAAGAAAGAAGGTAGCTGTGATCCTCTGGCATTACAGCAAGGAGGGACAGGGACATTGGGACACTGATGGGGTGGTGGTGGAGCTGCGAGGGTCTGAGGGTGACGTGAAAGGGAGGTGCAGCAGGCTGGGCTGGTCAGGAAGCATCAGGTGCCATACCCTGGGACTGCTCCTCAGGGGAGCTGCTCCACAAACACTGGGCACTCAAATATCCCATTCCTGGAGCAGTGAGGAGGAGGCTGGGTCACCTGTGAGGAACAACACCCCAGTGAGGGATCTTGGGGTCTCGCCGAGTCCAGCACTCAGCAGAATTTGGTGGGGCATGGGGAAAGGTGCAGATCAGAAATTCTCAAAGGGAAACATTTTCCAGTCTTATTTAGGGGTGCAGCATCTTCCATCAAAGCCAGGCAGGGACCTTGCAGCAGCCCTCCAGTGCCACAGGCATATCCAGCCCACTGAGGCTCTGCTCCCAAGCTGCCCTTCTGCTCAGAAACAAGGGAAGTAAGAGGGGAAGCGGGGGATCTGGGGAGGGCTGTTCCCTGCAGAGCCCTGGGGGCATTGTCCCCCATCTCTCTGAGCAGTGTCCCACCTCTGTCCTTGCCGCCCTTCCTGTTGCTGTGGCGCCAGCGCAGGTTTTGCCAGACAGCCAAGAACATGCTGGCTCAGCAGATACCATCAGGCAGGAGGATGTGAAATTTGGGTGGGAGCACTGGGGTTCTGTGTTCACCCTTCCCTAGCTGTGACTTCCTGCTCAGGGTGTCAGGGAGCCGCGCCCAGCGCTGTGCTGGCAGGGACAGCACACCAGCAGGACCAGCACAGACTTCCCTGCCCGGTCCCCACCTGAGGTAAGAGTGCTACGGGGTCTCGAGGGTGGGAATGGGGGTCCAGCAGCATGGCACACTGCTGGAGAGGGGGAACAACGAGAGGAGGACTTGGGTGAGAGAGGAAAAGGAGGAGAGGAAGGAGACAGAGGCACAGAGGGGCTGTGCATGTGTGATGGAGACTGGATGCACCAGCTGGTGGAAGGATTGATCTTGCTGGACAGAGCCAGGACAGTCAGGCTGTGCTGGAGGAGGAGGGAGGTCAGCTGTGTGCAGGGAGCTCCAGCCTCATGCACACAGTGACAGTCTGCAGTGGTGTGTGCATCTCCAGGGTTTGGGGACCTGCACTCAGAGGGCTTGGGGCTGGCCATGGCTACCCCAGACCTCATGGCTCCATCCAGACTGAAAGCCCAACTCCTGCTGTGCCATCAGGGGCTGCCCTGGGGTTGGAGATGAGCCTGGGGTCCATCTCCATACATCCACCTCCCCATTGTCCTTCAGTGTGTGTAGGTGGGACATTGAGGACACATCCATGGCATCCAGGTGCTCCTGGTGCATCCAGTCTCCTTTTCCCCATGTCCAAGCCACCCTGCCGTGGCCCCTCGCTCCAGCATTTTCTTTCCCTTTCCATACTACAGAACACCGAAATGGAGAAGACATTCTGGGTGCAGTTCTATCTGGCTCTCACTCTCCTCTTCCTGAACCTGGGCTCTGCTGTGACTGTAGAAAACCCTCCCAGCTGCTATGGAACTCCAGGGCTGCCAGGCATGCCAGGTCTGCCAGGCAGGGATGGCCGGGATGGGCTGAAGGGAGCCAAAGGGGAACCAGGTGAGTGAGCAAGGAGGGGAAACACATGGGCTCTTGCAGGGGGGCACTGAGTCCTCCATGGCTGGTCTGCCTTGGCTTGCAGGATGTGGAGAGCATCCTCTGTGGTCAGGTGGAAGAGGCAGCAGCACTCTCCTGACCAAGGGAAGGGGCTAGAGGAGCCTGTCCCCATATCCTGCCATTGGTACTGATTTCCTCTCACCCCCCACCACCCCACAGGTATTCCAGCTTCTTCTACACACCTGGGGCTCAAGGGCATGAGAGGGGACCCGGGCTTCCCCGGCCCTCCAGGCAAGCCTGGCCCCCCTGGGATCCCTGGGTTAATGGGAATCCCTGGGATTCCGGGCATTGCTGGACCCCCAGGACTGCCAGGCAGCTTCAAGCAGAAGCAGCAGTCAGCATTCTCAGTGACAAGACAGACCAGCCAGTACCCTGGGAAGAATGTCCCCGTGATTTTCAACCACATCATCACCAACACCAACAACGACTACGACACCATCACGGGCAAGTTCACCTGCAGGTTCCCTGGGATCTACTACTTCATCTTCCACAGCTCCCACACAGCCAACCTCTGCGTCATCCTGTACAAAAACCAGAGGAAGATGGCCAGCTTCTGTGACCACAAGACCAACACCATGCAGGTCAGCTCGGGGGGGACCCTGCTGCACCTGGCTGCTGCAGACGAGGTGTGGCTGGGAGTCAACGACTACAATGGCATGGTGGGCATTGCCAGCTCCGACAGCATCTTCTCGGGCTTCCTGCTCTTCCCAGACTAAGGCATCAGCAGAGCCCACCCCAGCACCCTGATGTCTTCTCCCTGCCCTGAGCACACTGCTCATTGCTGGGCTCTTCCTGCTGCTCCCAGTTTCTCTGCAGGGAGGGCACCAAGCCCAGCAGCCAGACCCACGCCCTGGCTCCGGGGGCTGAGCACTGGCAGCTGCTGCCCAGGGGGAACGGGCACATCTGGATGCATCTGTACCCAGAGTGAGGGTGCTGAGCTCCTGGTCCTGCAGTTCCACGTGCATCCCCCCTGCTAACCCCACATTACCTCAGAGGTCTCTCTGTGTTTTTCCCCTCCCAACCCGGGCTGCCTCAGGTTCAGCCAGGTGTCCTGGCACAGGCTGCAGCAATCCCTTTACCATGACCTGGCTGTGGAAAGTGTCAATAAAACCTTCCCCAGTGCACTGGGGTAGTGTGTTGTTTCCTTCATGTCCTCCTTCTCTGTGGTGTGTACACATGTGCACATCTGGCCATCTGTGTGGCATCAGCATGTCCCCAAACCTCAGTGGCATCAGAGACCATCCCACTCCACCCACATCTGGCTTTGCACAGGGGGTGGGACCCCTGCAGGAATGGGATGGTCCCCACACAGCCCCTACCAAGAGGGCACCACGACTCCTCCAAGCAGGGCCCTGATTCTCCCCTCCTCTCCAAAGCTTCACAGGGGCACAGACTGCAGAGGAAACCCTGACACCGTGGCTGGGACATCCCTGGGCTCCCTACCAGGATGGGGCAGGGGAAGCACTCTGGCTTTCCTGAGCCAGACCAAAGCAGCTCGTGGTTGTGGAGGCTGCAGAGCCCACCAAAACCCCAAAGGGATTTCTCCTGGTGTCACACACTGCAGGGTGGAGCAGGCAGTCACCTCTCCAAACATCCTGTGCTCCACCTCCCCAAGGCAGTAGCCAAAGCAGGGTAAAATCACTTCCCATGCACAACACTCAGGAGAGTCAGGGGCATGGGCTCAAGGTGATGGATGCTGACCCCTGCAGCATCCCCTGAGCCTGCAGAGCTGGCAGCATGCAGAGCAGCCTGAGGGGACCTGGCTGAGTGCCTGCACATTTCTGCAGCTCTGATGGGTCACCCTAAACTCATCTGGAGCTCCCTACAGCATTCCCCATAGCAAGAACCCCTGAGCAGGACCCAGGGACCTTGCAGGGCAGAGCAGGGCTCTGCAGGGGCTCAGGGTGCTATTTGGGGATGGCTTGTTCTGCTCAGCTGACAACAGCATTCGTGGAGGATCTGAAACTGCGACAAAAAAAAAAAAGGAGAGGAGCTAAAGTTAAAAAGGGGATGTGTCCCGGATCCTTTCACAACAACCCTTGCAGCAAACTTCTGCTTCTCCTCCTGGGCATTTCTGGGCAGGACGCTGGGGTGTCCTGCTCCATCTCCCCACCTGATCCGCAAGGAGCTCAAGGTAAGAGCCAGACTGAGCCCAAGGTTCCCCCTGCAGGAAGGAGCACGCAGGGGACCCAGCTCTGACAGGGTGACAGTCACCTGCAGTGCTGGCACTTCCCTGTGGTCTGGGGCAGAGGAGAAATGGGGGTGGAGGTGCTGGGCTGGGGGTGGTGGAGACTGATGGGACCCCGACCCCTCCTGTTCCACCTGGAAGAAGGAAAACAGAAAAGTAGAGATGGCAGAGTTCCAGAGGGGGGGTCAGGGACTGAAAGGTTCATCAGCCTGAAAGGTGCCCTGGGGGTGCCCTGAGAAGCTCCTGTCCTCTGATGGGCCCGGGCTGGGAGCTGTGGATCAGCACCTGCCACACCCAAAGCAGAACGGCTGTGCCTGGAGGATCCAACTCACCAACTTTCTGTTCTGCTGGAACCAGAGCTTCAGAGCTGGGAAAATCCACCTGAGGTTGGAAAATCCAGCCTGGAGCTGTGGCTGGGATGCTCTGATGTCCAGATACAGCCCCCATGTGCCCAGTACTTATCTACAGGTCCCCACACCAGGATCTGGGGGAAGGAGCTGGGCAGGGAGGGCAGGAAGAAGGTGAGAGCCCAGGGATGGAAGGCCAGACAATTGTCCCAGTGAGGGTTGTTAGATACAGAAATGCCTCTGGGATTGAGCAGCTGTGTGACAGGACACAAGGGGAAGCCGTGGGATGCAGGAGGGAGGTTTGGGGGCTCATTGTCATCTTCAAGGACTAGCACTGTCCCTCAGACAGGCTGGTAGAAGGCAGGACCCATTCCCCTGCAGATGATGAAACTGCTCTGGTTGGGTAAGGATTTTACCCTGCAAGATGAGATGGAGAATTCCTTCTGCCAGGGAGCAGCATGGCCACGTTGGACACGAGTTCTCTGAGATAACCTGTCCCAAATGTTCAGGTGGCTGAAGCTGTGGGCACTTGGAAACTGGGGATTTAGGAGTGATGAGAGACTGACAAGCCCTGCTTTGCCCAAGGGTTCTTTGCTCCAGGGCCAGCAGGAGAGTGGATTTGGCTCTGCAGTAGGATGTTTTCCCTCCTTGCTGGTATTACCCAGACTTGCTTGCAGTCACCATTTCTCAGAGCAGCTCAGAGTGCCTTTCCCAGCCCTCCCACCACCCAGGAAAGCCCTGACACCGTTCCCTGCTCCCACAGATGTGGAGCCTGTGGGCCATGCTCATCTGCCTGGCTGGAGGGCAGCTTGCCAGTGCCACACTCTGCAGGACTTATGGCACCATCCCAGGCATCCCAGGATTGCCAGGACAGCCTGGCAGCGATGGCAGGGATGGAGAGAATGGCCCAAAGGGAGAACAAGGTAAGGAAGAGGCTGCAGGTGGGTAAAACATTGTCTTGAGAATGCCAAGAGCAGGGAAAGACAGTGCCAGGCACATGATCCTGGGAAAGCAAATCCTTTCCACCAGTCCTTTGAAGTTTTGTCAGGTGGGGATGATGGAGCACCAAGTGTAGCCGTGGGAAGGGGTTTTAACCCTTTAAGTGCAGCAGAAATAAGATGCACAGCTACATGGTCATCTTTCATGACAGGAAGAAAGAGCCAAGTTTATTCAGGAACACACTTGGTTTTATAGCATGACTGCAACTCCCAGAGTAGAGAAAAGGAGATTGGTTCAGAGAGAAGACACCCCATTGCCAGGGCCTGGGCACACACCACAACAGGGGTTCTATCTTTGTTATTAATTCCTTTTTATTTTGACCAAGATATCACCCTGGGAGAAATTCTCCCTAGTCTTGAGCTGGACCAGCTCATGGGCTGGGAACAGAGCTGAGAAGCTCCAGCCTGGAATATTTTTCAGGCTGTAATTTTCTTACTTTCTCAATATGTGTCCCTACACCAAGGAATTTAGGGGAGGAGAGGGATGACAGCAAGGTGTGACACACCTGCCTGTCGGGCAGGGGTCTCCACTGACCCACACCCAGCACGGGTTTCCTTGCTCAGACAAACGGGGCTGGGCTGTGAGCACAATGACTCTTCCTCTTCTTCCCCAGGACCCCCTGGCCTGGGAGGAGCAGAGAGAGGGGAGAAGGGAGACCCAGGACTACCGGGACCGCCTGGGAAGGTCGGTCCCAGGGGCGCACCAGGTTCACCGGGCATGGCAGGTTCGGTAGGAATGCCTGGGCCCATGGGAGAGCCTGGTGACTACAAGACCACCTTCAAATCAGCGTTCTCGGCTGCCAGGGGCATCAGCTCGTACCCCCGGCGGGACCAGCCCGTCCGCTTCGAGCGCATCATCACCAACGAGAAGGGGCACTACGAGAACCGCTACGGCCGCTTCACCTGCCGCGTACCCGGCACATACTACTTCACCTACCACGTCACCTCCCGGGGAAACCTCTGCCTCAACATCAAAAAGGGCCGGGGTGCCAGCAGGGGAGACAGGGTAGTGACCTTCTGTGACTTCGTGAACAGCAGTTTCCAGGTCACCACGGGAGGTGTGGTTCTCCAGATGGCCATGAACGAGTCGGTGTGGCTGGAGCCGACCGAGAAGAACTCCTTGGTGGGGCTGGAAGGGTCTGACAGTATCTTCTCTGGTTTCCTCATCTTCCCTGAGGCTTAGCCCGCTGGAGCAGTGTCTGTGGCCAGCCTGTGCAGCCCTGCAGAGCTGAGGACTCCCCTGGAAACTCTTTGCTCCCAGATCGGTGTTTGAGGCACAATGCTGCCATTCCTTCACAATAAATGACAGCTCTTCGCACTATTGGTCCCTGTCTGGATAGGATTTTCCTTTTGCCTCCTAAATAATTTTCACATAACCAGGGTACTGATTCTTGCCCCCTTGGGTGCAGCCCAGGCTCATTAGCATCTCATTACTGCTGAGCAGAGCCAGACAAGTCATGCAGTTCCTGCTGCAGATCAGGCTGAGTGTCTCTGTCCAGAGCCACCCAAAGGGTCCCAGTCCAGGGTTAGGAAAACATGGAGAAGCAGCTCAGCCTTCAGAGGGGCAGGACAATGGCAGAGTGGGAAATTGGGGCACTGGGTGCTGGTGGTAGGTGGGGAGATGCTGGAGGTGGTGCTGTACTGGGGAGTCCTGACAGGGGCAGGATCCGGGGACACCAACCTCTCTTAGACTTTTTTTTGGGGGGGGGGTTAGTGGTGACAGAAATACCCACAGAAGATTGTCAAAGCTTGTGACAATGCGAGGCAGGTGAGTGTGGGCCAAGAAACTGGATCCGTGATGGGGATGGTGTGGAGGACACCCCCAGTACAGCCTCCAAAGCCCAGCACAGAACCCACACATCCTGGAGCACAGCCAAGGCCTCCCAGCCTGCTCCTTATCAACAGCAGAGCTGTGGAGCCAGGAGTGTGCAGATGAGTTAAAGCTGAGGAGCCCAGGGACACCCCTGGGTGGGTTGCCTGCAGCCCCCAGCCCATCCCATGGGGGTGTGTAACAGCAGTGGGAGTTTTGCACCATTTAATCAGTGCTTTGTCTCAGTCTCTTCTGCCTCTTCACTCAGAGCCAGGATTAAAAAATACACAAAGGAAGTGGATTTTCTCGTGTTTAGGCTTAGTTGTTCATTAAATCTTATCAAAAGTACAGAAAGTTCAGTAACACTTCGAGCCACCTGCTAGAAGCGAGGAAAAAGGAGACAGATCCAGCTGCTACAAGGTCTATTAAAGCTAAACAGTCCAATAGAGAATTAACACCCATATTATTTACACTTTTAACCCAATAACTAAATTCCCATGACCCTCAGTGTGACACTGACTGACCAACCAGAAGCTACAGCCTGAAACCAGAAAGAAGATGAACATTGAAAAAGACACCACCCAAAATCCTCCATCAAAACCCTCAAATTTAAACCCTTCACCATGTGAAATCTCACACTTCTATTTAGTTAAAATCTCTCTACAGAGATTTTAACTCCATCACCCAAATTTGGAAGCCTTCTCCAAGGCCTCAAGTCAAAAGCAGGGGGTCAGTGTCAGAAAGCACAGACAGCTCAAAACCCCCCAGGTTTCTGGGATCCAACAGGGCTGGACATGGGACATTCAGGAGTTTTTGTGGAGTCTGGGATTTGAAAAGGTCTGGATAAAAAGGATGATGATAAAAAGTCTTGGGGAGGTGATATGGATTTAATGGATTAAATTTGGATATGGATTTTAAGGATTTAATGGAGTGTCACCCCTGAGCTCTCCAGACCCCCAGCTCTGGGTCGCTCAGTGTCCCCTCCCCAGCACAGGACAGTGACCGAGGCTGTTGTCACCCGCTCAGAGGCTCCTTCAAGGGCGATTTGCCGGCAGGTGGCACTGGAGACTGGCTCAGCCCTCACCTGGCAGCATCCTCATCCTCATCCTCATCCTCATCCTCATCCTCATCCTCATCCTCATCCTCATCCTCCTCCTCCTCATCCTCCTCCTCCTCCTCCTCCTCCTCCCCACCTCGCAGTTTTATCCTTCCTCAGCAGAATTTGTGGTTTCCGTGCCCCGGGGTGCAGCCGCCCGTGTCCCCAGACTCTGCTGCTCTCCCAGCTCTGAGTAGAGGGGTTTGGTGTCACATTTTGAGGTTCCCCCGGTGCTGGAGCCTTTGCAGCGCAGCCACCAAACCCACGGTGCTTCACAGCTGGAGATGCAGCATCACAAATAAAACTGAGCTGGGCAAGGCAGGGGGAGGACAAGAATAGGTGTTTGAGCTGCTTTTGAGCCAAAAGAGGGCTGGTACATCCACTGAACCCTCAGCAGGTACGACACACTGTGCCAAGGAGCAGAGATACACTCGTGCCATTCCAAGAGCCCTGGAGGCTGGAAAATGAGCTGGCAGAAGCCCACTGATATTTAATGGAGACAAATTCAAAGTCCTTCTTCTGGCGTGGGACAACTCCGTGTCAGAGGACAGGCACTGGCAGCAGAAAGCTCTGCAGGAAGGGACCTGGGATGTTGTTGGACACCAAGGTTGAGCTTTCTGCCTTTCCAGTAATGGGTATAATAATTTTTGATTTTTGAAAAGGTGTAAAGGAATAAAACTGGTGTCATTTTTGAAATAAATATCTGACCAGTACGAGCCAAAAGGGTTCTGGGGACTTGGAAAGTCAGAGGGGAGTGCAGGTACCAGCAGCTGTAAGTGCAGCTGGGAAACAGAGGCACAGAGGGAACCGCTGCCCAAAGGTGCAGAGGGCATCATTTCATCCCATGGGGCTGAGCCAGCACCCAGCAATGCCAGCTCTGGCAGTGTCCCCATGGGATGGCAGCTGCCTGCTCCCCTGAGGCTGCCACTAAATTCACACTCTCTGAGTATCCAAAATGGATGAGGAAAGGGGCCCAGAGGGTGCTGGGGCTGGTGTTGGTCCATGCAGCACCACCCTTCAGTTCTTCCCAGGCAGCTCGGGGTGGGCAGCACATTCCTGAGCCTGTGTGAAGCCCCAAAGCCACAGCCTGCACCCCCTCAGCTGGAGGGGCCCCCTCCTCTCCAGCTGTGACAGCGCTCACTGAGGCCAGAGCCAAAATGTCCCTTGCCATGGGACCCTGCACGGAGCTGGGATTGCTTCCCCTGTGCTCAGCAATCAGTCCCTCTGACCCCTGTGCTGCTCAGGGCCACACTGGGGATCATCAAAAGCCCTGGGTGGTTGGGTGCTGTGCTGGCAGCCCCACCTGTCCTGTCTGGTGTTCCCAGGAACAGCAGGACCAGCCTAGCCCTGCTCCTGAACCTGCTGCCCTGCTCTTTGCTCCAGGATTCATTATTCCATGGAAACAGGGCAGTCCTGGAACCACACAACCATTAACAGGAGAGCTGGAAAGAAACCTGTGCAGGGTCAGGTGCTGTGGGTGGTCGGGGAGGTCAGGGCAGCACGGCGGTCACTGTCACTCAGGAAAGGGTCAATTTGTATATTTAATTAACTCCTTACACCTTCCCCATGGGTGCTTGAGCCCAGGGCATCAACCTGGGAATAAACCTGCAGGATCTGTCCTCACCCAGGGTGGGCAGAGCTGGCCTGGGGCTCAAGGCACGCTGCTGCTTGTGCTGTGTGTGCTCACTCACCCCTCCGTGCACACTCCCTCTGTGCACACCCACCCTGCTCTGTGCACATCCCTGTACTTCTGTGCACATCCCTGTACCTCTGTGCTCATCCCTGTACCCCTGTGCACATCCCTGTACCCCTGTGCACATCCAGGTACCCCTGTGCACATTCCTGTGCACACCCATGTAGCTCCATGCACACCCACTCCTGTGCACACCCACCCCTGTGCCATCTCCCCTGCCCTGTGCAGGCTCCCTGTGCTCTGTGTGCCCCCCAGGTGACCCCTGGCACGCACATTCTGCTCCTGGTCGCTCCCTTTGGGGTTTCTTTTCAGGGCAGCTGCAGTCCCTCCCCACAGCCCGTCCTTCACCAGGTGTGCTGTGACCCTCACCTGCCATGTCAGGCCACCACCAAGGACAGGGCTGTGCCCAGGCCAAGGCCACCAGAGCTCAGCAGACGCTGAAGTTGGGTCAGGAGGTGTTTCAAGGTGACTTGAGGAGTTTTAGGGATGTCACTGCTCTGCCAAGAAGCCATGGAGTGCTCTGGGCTGTGGGTGTTGGAGGCCACTTGTGCAGGACAGGGAGGGAACCAGGAGCACAGCTGTGGGCAAAGACACCAACAGAGCTGTCAGGGAGTTCAAATAAAACCTTCCTGCTCCCAGGCACGGAGCAATAGGGACCAGCAAGAAAATCACATGGAGGTTTCTCCTGCATCATCCAACTGGGGGTTTGGAGGTTCTCTGTGCCAAAGCTCCAGTTTTGGCATAAGCAGGAGCCTGGCAGGATCCCACGTGGTGGGAAATGGGTTTGCTGTCAGCAGTCAGGGAAATGAGGCTGAGCTGGAGGAATCCAAACACGACCATGCTGTTTGTCAGGGGGATGGAGCCAGGGGTGGATGTCAGTCTGGTCTGACACCACCAGCAAACACCATGGAGCTCGCAGAGGTGCTGATCTGTTTGCACTAAGGCCAGGAGTTCCCAGCACCTGCTATATCCAAGGAAGAGCCCTTCCTAATCCATCCTTGTTTGGTCTTGGTCCTTGCTGGCAGCAGCCACAGCCAGGCTGCCCTACAGGGACCCTGGATCAGCATCCCATGCCAGCCCCTCCAAACAGCTCTTCTCCCACAGAGTTCAGGGACAACCCTCCCTCGGGGCAGGGAGGCTTTTCCCTTGGCACCAGCTCCCTCCTGAGCAGCCCACCAGCATTTCCTTCCCTTCAGCCTCCCAGCTCTGAGCCACAGGTGCTGCTGCCAGGCTGTCTCCTCTGCCCTTGGGCCGGGTTTTGGAGTGAAATATTGGTGGATTTTTTGTGTTCTTCTTTCCTTCCCCTTCTCCAAACCATAATATCATGCAGGAGCCGTATGGGAATCCCTGCGTGGGTTCAGTGCTGTGCCAAGGTGCTGGAATGCTCTGGGCAGGGGCATTACTGGGACAGGGCACTGGGTTGTGCTTGCTGGGATGTCACAGGCATCACAACGGGGCACAGCAGCAAATCACAGCTTTGGTGGATGCTGGGGTCACACACAGTGAGTTCATTTTCAGCAGGGTGGGAGCTCCCAGCACGGATCCCCTGGCAGCAGTGCTTCCACTGGAGGGTGGTCCCAACTCCAGGGAAACTCCTGTGGAGTTTGATACAGCAGAAACCAGCCTGGGACAGGGAAGGGAGTTCAGGAATCAGCTCCAACCCCAAATCTCAATTCAAGACTGCTGTTAAGTTTGTTCCCCCCATCCTCACCCAGGCTTGCG